AGATCCACTCTCCACTGAAGTCTGCCTGTGTTCTGGGCCCAGCAGGGGTGTTCCCCACTTTACAGGTGGCCCACTGTTCTCTGTTGCACAGCCAGGCCTCACAGGGGGCCACTGATGGTGCTACTTCTGAGAAACCATGTCAAGACCCCCCAACACTGTCACCAGCCGTCAGGAGTGTCCCTAGAAGCCTGTATTTCTCCCGGGCTCCCTGGAGCTCTGCCCCAGGGGAAGGTGGCGCCTTTGGCAGGTCTCAGTGTTTGGGGGCCTGACCGTTGCAGTCCTGACCTCAGGTTGGGAGAGGGACACTGCCAGCTTCATGCCCACCATGGGGGGACCAGTGCAGCCCCCACACACTGGGACAGTCACCCCCAGCAGTTTTCTGGGAGAACTACGACCCACAGAGGGTATGGGTTAGAGACTATTTGCCAGGTGATCAAACCACATGCCCATTTTAACCTTCAGGAAGCTCTCCAGTCTTTTCTGGAAAACAGATGGTTAAGGGGCCCCATCTGAGGACTTGGGGCCCAGAGTAATCCTTCTCTTAAGCCTTCCTTGTCATGTCTAAAATAAAGTACCATCATTCATTTAAATAAATATTAGATAAATATAAAGTTTGCTGACTTTCTGAGATAAATCCCTAAAGCCTCAATCTCACATCCTTTAAGCACCTAAATATTACTTGAATTTGGGGCTGGATTTCAGAGCTGTCATCCTTTATGGATTACAAGCACTGTGACTTTGTTTTGTTGTTTAATGAAGTTGTAGATGTCAGGGCCAATTTAGTGCCTAGAGTGAAGGTGCTTTCTGCTTTATCAGGCATTCCATTAAGAATGTATATTTCATTTAATTTTCTGTGTGTGGACTAGAAATAAAGCATTTCTTCTGAGTTCTTTTATGAACAAAACATTTTTCCACTAAGTTCTTTGGTGTTCAGGGGAAATCAGCTGTTATGCGGCGCACTGAGGTGCATTAATCAGCTATTGCCACAAACTTGCCACGTAACAAGTAACCACCGCAGGGTAAGCATTCGTTTCGTCTCACGGTGCTGGGGGGCGGTCTCGGCTGGGCTGTGCGGGCAGCTCTCTGTCCACAGCTGGGCCCAGTGGCCTGTCCCCTGGAGTTGGCTGGGGGTCAGTGGGCACGGGCTGGCCTCCGGGTAGCTGGTGTGCTGAGCGCTGCTTTCTGCGGCCGAGGCTGGTCCAGGCGTGTCGGAAAGGAAATGGCGAGCATCGGGGTGGCAGCATCTGGGTTTGGGTGTATGTGGGCGCGGAGGGCAGAACTGCCGCCAGTGAAGTGCCAGGTGCAGGGGGGCTCCCAGAATTTAAAGGAAAAAAGAGAGATAATCAATAGGAACTTCACAAAACATCAAAAAAGGAGAGAAAAAAGGAGGATAAAAAGAGTAGAATCGTTAAGTATGTAAATTAAAGGGAAAAAATGAAATCAATACTATTAATGATGTCTCCGTGTGAACAGAAGATTCTCCTTGAAGTAACAGAGGATGCAGACAGATCTCGGAAGCAAAACGCATCTCTGTGATTTGAAAGAAACCTTCAAGACAGACTGGCATAGCAGAGCTGAATGTAGATGAATGACACGTTTAACTTCATTCCAGGAGGAATTTAAGCTTAGAAGCATTCAGGAGGAAAGTAGGTCGTTATATAATGACGAACTACTTAATTTGTAAGAAATTGAATCGAATTGACATGAACTGCAAGCAACAAACAGTGTAACAACTAGATATATTCTAGAGAAACATCTAGAAATTGCAGAATAATATGGTGGGGAAGCATAATGGGATATTTGAATGCACCTCTGTGGGAATTATAAAGCTTGAGTGGAAAATAAATAAAAAGGAATATAGAGGACATGAGTATCAACAATATAACAATTTCTGTTCTTTAAATAGAAAACTCACATTTGTCACATTGATCGAATATACTTACAAATATAGATTGCCCTTGGCCACCCAGAAAACCCTATTTAAGTCGTAGGGATACTGCAGGTTGTAAACTCTGCTTAATTTGACATGCAACATGGTTATAAACCAGGAAATCTACCAACAGAACACAGTATACCAACACATTCCAAAGGAAAACAAGGCATTTTTACCATCTACACATTATTCCTAATAAAAACAGTGGCAGACAGAATTCTAAGACGGTGCGAATGTATAGGCCCCGTGTGACTGTGATTCCCTCCCAGGGTGTCGGAGGAGCCTGTGGATACTACGGGCCGTCACTCCCATAATCACGCTATGCTGTTAGGTGAGCCCTTTGAAGGCAGAGTTTTCTCAGGCTGGCGGCGGCAGCGGCGATCAGAGACACACTGTGCTGGCCCTCAAGAGGCCGGAGCACGCAGGCCTCGGCGTTGGGGGGCCACGAGGCAGGGACAGCAGGCCGCTTCCAGCCGCCGAGTCCTGGCCGGGAGCCGGCATGAACGGGAACTCAATCAAACAGCAGCCAGCCAGTGAGCCCTGCCCGCAGCCTGGGGGGCCCGGGAGTGAGCCCTTCCCCAGGCCAGCTCCAGGCGCAGGTGTGGCTGTGAGTGTGTCAGCCTGCAGGCCCGGTCGGTCCATCAGCTTGGTGGCTCCAGCGAACCCCGCAGGCTGGAGGCTTGGGCAGCAGGCACGCGCCGTCTCTCAGTCCCGGGGCCTGGAAGCCCAAGGGCAGGGTGCTTTCTGGTGGTCTCTCTTCCTGGCCTGGAAATGGCCAGCTTCTCACGGTGTCCTCACGTGGCCTTCCCTGAGGTGGGACAGGGAGGAGAGATAGACAGACAGACAGACAGAGGGAGAGAAAGAGGAATCCAATGTCTCTTCCTCTCACGAGGGCATCAGTCCTGTTGGATTAGGGCCCGTTCTTATGACCCCACTTAACCTTAGAAGGCCTCACCTCTAAATACAGTCACTTTTGAGTTTAGGGCTTTAACATGAATTTTAGGGGGGACACAGTTCAGTCCATATGTGCAGTGAAGCCAGGCCCGGCCATTTACTAACCCATGAAACTTCAAGGTAATAAAACGCATGTTATTTTAAGCCACTACATTTACGGTAATTGTCATGCTGTGGTAGAAGACTAATGCAAAAATCCAAAGAAAAATATGCCTAGAATGAAATGTGTGAAAGAACAGAGACAATTAAGAACATGAAGGCATTTCCTTTAAAATCAGGGCCACCATCTCTGTGACTCAGTATGCTGTGAGCTTCCAGCTATAGTAATAAGACAAAAATTCAGTAATTAGTATAAATATTGGTGGAGCAAAGAAAAGACATCTTTTTAGTTAATGATCTAATTGTACAGCTAAGAAACCAAAGAGACTCTTTTACAAAAGAAAAGGAAAAACAAACGTGACTAGAGTTAATTTAAAATTTTTATAAAGGTTGTTGGATATAAGATAAATGTTCAAAATCAATAGATATTCTTTATATTAGCAATAAGGAGAAGGATATTAAAAACTGGGAAAAATTTTATTTAAAATAAGGAAGAGTTTGGTATTATAAACATTTCTGGGAGCAAGTGGGAAGTTGTCTTCACCCGTTTGGGCTGCTGCAAGGAAACCCCGCAGGCTGGGCAGCCTGAACAGGAGTCACTGAGCCTGTGGTTCTGGAGGCTGGGGGCCGGCTGGGCCAGTTCTGGTGAGGCCCTCTTCCTGGCCTTCTCCTCGCCAGCCCTCCTTGGCACGTGTAGGAAGGGACATCTTGTGTGCCCTGCCTTGTTCATAAGGGCATGAATCCCACCGTGGGGCCACCCTTCATCCCCACTGGAACCTGATCACCTCCCCACGGTCTCACCTCCCAACACCATCTCCCTGGGGAGGAGGCTTTAACACGGGTTCTGGAGGGGACGCCAGCACTCCCCAGCGAAGGGATCCATGTCCTTAGTTAGAAAGGCTTAATTTAAAAAAAGTCATTCTCCCAAAACTAATATAACGTCAGGGGAAGATGAAAACTGCAGTAGGTTTATTGTTGGGATTGGACAGAGTAACCTGCACACCCATACGGCCAAATAAACGTCTCAGAATAATAGCCAAGAAAATTCTCCAGAGAGCTGGCATTGCCAGGAGGAACATGGCATGTCCGGGCATGATGTTGTGTGGACGCTGTGATGGGAGCAGTCGGTGGCCCCACGGGAACAGACTAGAGTCCAGGGTGCTGGTGCGGCACAGAGAGCTCTCAGGTAGGTGAGCTGGAGTGGCCCCCTTCGTTTCCCCCCCACGGGTTCTTCTAGAAGGAGGCCAATGTGCAGCGTCTCAGAACTGGCAGGAGAGCCGCGTTACTTCTCAGCCACTGAGAGGGAAGCTTGGTTCCACCACCTACAAGCGGTGCCTTTTGTAATTTTCCAGCTCAGCAGAAGGGGAAGCATTTATAGAACCTTCTGTTAACGTGACGCAGTTAAGGAACTATTAACTGGAGGTGGAGTTTGTGTTGAAAACTCGCCTCCTCGTCCGTCTTTCCAGGTGTGCAGGGTGGGAGGGGCCGACGGGAGCCCGGCCCGAGGGGAGCCTTGCTCCGAGGGGCGGGGGGCCGTGCTCTCCGCAGAGGAACGCGTCTCCCGGCGCTGGGCGCCCTGGGTTGGAGGGGAGAAGAGGGAGTGAGTGGCTGGCCTTCAGGCGTGTCACCTGCGGGCCCCACGGGCTGCCAGGGAGGCGCTGGTGCAGGCAGGCCCGGCTGGCACGGATCTCAGCAGATGGTGCCCTGCCCCGCCCAGTCCAGAGTGGCCCCGCCTGTCGGCCCCCGGGAGACCCCTTCCTTACCCTGCTGGCTCTGTCTCCCTGGCCTCCGCAGGCTTAAGTACTGCCCTGAGGACCACCTCTGAGACCCTGTCTCCTGGATCCCCCACCCCTCAGCTCTCTACCCTTTCCCCAGGCCTCTGTCACCTCTCTGTCCCGACTAACACCTTGGGGCACCTGCTCACCTGTTGAGCAGCACCCCCTACTCCCTGCCCAGCCCCTGCGTGCTGCCGCCGCTGGGCTGTGCCCTCGGAAGAGCCCTGAGCATCCGAGCAGGGCTGAGCCTGTGTGGCTGGGGAAGCCTCGCTCCGCCTCCTTGATGACTCAGGTGGCTATTAGCTGAGCAGAAGGCCCCCCGTGAAGGCAGAGGACGCCCGAGACAGACACAGTCGAATCAGCTGTGGCTCCCGTGGCAGGTCTGGTTTCTTGCTTCTTGGTGCCAAGCCCTGTGTTCCCCTCCAGACCTGATCCCCGCATGCAAGGCCCTTCTGGTTCTGATTAGGCTGACACCTCCGCTGTCCTGGCTGGTCGGCTGCCCCTCGCATGGGCTGGCCTGTCACACCCTTGTGCAGCTTCTTCTCTAAGCCCCTGGTGCGTGTCCCCGAGAGCGGGGACCAGGCCTTGCTCGAGGCTGTGTTGCAGGAGCAGAGGAGGCCCAGACACGGAGCTGAGGCCGAGCGCACAAGCGAGCCAGGAGCCATGTTCCTTAGATGGGGAAATGTGCCTACTTTCCACCCCAAACCTCGGTGGTAGGTTCTACTCTTATCCCAGTTTGTCTTCTCTTCCACAGACTGGAAGCCACTCTAAGATGACGTGCCATTAGCTGGGTGCAGAGTGCGTTGGGCTCCAGAGCCCCCAGCCCCAGACGTCTGCCAGTCCAGCCCTCCAGACCTGGGGAGGGTCCTGGGGACGGAGCGGTGGGCTGTGGACTCAGGCAAGTGCTTGGGGTGACTTGTGCACCCCAAAGACACGAGGAGCTAGGAAAGGGGCTTGTCCTAAGACCTGCCATCTCCGTTCTTTCTCCTGGAAGGAAGAGGCTGGAACCCTGCGTGTACTGGCTCTGGGGGTAGGCCTGGGCAGGACGGGGCTGCCCACAGCTGGGAGGGACTGGCCTCACCAGCCGGGAATCAGCTAGACAGCGAGTCACACTCTGTGTGCTCTAAAGCGTAGGGAACACGCACACACATGCCCTAAAATAATTCACTGTTTAGCAGGAGAGAAACACTGGGTCAGTTGGTCTCAGACCTCTGTGTGGTTAGTAGCCACAAACTGCTTCCCGAATACCCAGGCCCAGGGCCTGTTTGGGTGAAGTCCGGGGACTACAGGTTAATGAGCATTTTTGGCAATTCTTAGGTATGTGGTGTTGGACCACAAGTGGAAAAATCTGAGATAATCAAATAACATGTGCATCATGTGACAGCCTTTGCACTGCATGACACGAGACACGACCACAGGTAGCTGCAGAGATATTGACCAATAATGACGCCCATCGTGTTTTCCTGTGGTTTCCACTGTGTTGATAACCAGCTGCCTCGGGCAGGCAGGACTGGCCATGACTTTACACCTTCCCCTGTGCACTTCTGGGGGATGAGAGGGGCTCTGACAGCCAGGGCCCGCTTGTTGTGACAGGCTGCAGGGTTTTGCAGCAGCAGCTCACGAGATACTGGTTCACTGGTGGATGGAACCGGGCGGGGGTCTCAGCCAGGTGCGAGCTGAGTGTTGGCCCTGGAGGGAGCGGAGGGCTTTCTGTGTGGTAGTTGATCGCCAGTTCTGCCCGCCAGGTGGTGGTTGCTCCCCTGGGCTTCACTCCGGCTCTCACAGGGGTCGTTAGACCTCGGAGTCAGGCCTTCCAGGACCAAATGCGGTGTGGCAGCGGCCCCTGTCCCAGCCTACTGGAAAGGGGACCACGGGTGACCGCGTGCCACAGCCGGCCCCACACCTGCAGTTCAGGACCCACCTGTGCAGCGCGGGAAGGCGGGCACGTGTGGCTGGGCGTCTCTGCAGCTCCTCGCGGCTGCCCCGGCTTGCTGGCCTGCATGCTCTTTCCTCCCCTCGGCTCACTGAGCTTCTTAGCTCATCATCGTCTTGCTTAGTTGAGGGTCTGCCGTCCCCGGGTGTGGTGCTGACAGTGCTGGGGAGGAAAGCATGGAGGGTGACGGGAAGCACAGGTGGATGGTGGGGGCTGTCCAAGGACGTTGGCTTGGCCACTTACTGGGCATAGGCTCTGTTTGAAGCTCGGTGGGCCTGTGGACTTGCCTGAGATGCTGTGTGTCCAATGTCCCCTGGCGCCCCGTGGGGGACAGGAGAACGGGGAGGGTTCCCGGACGGCGTCCCTCCCACTGGCTCCGGATGGCGGAGGAGCATCGTGAGCCCGGCTCAGAGCAGGCCGCGCTGATAGATGAGATTTGGCTCTGCTTTTCCTTCAAATCATCTATTTCTCTTCTGCACAAGTTCTCTGAATGACATGTAGATAAATTCTGAAAGATATTAGTGTCCCCCCTTGAGACAGGATTTCATCATCCTACCTATTTAACTAATTTATTAGTTACAATTACACCTCAAAATGGCACCAGCGTCAGCATAATCAAAACCTACGTTTCAATTACTCGTTGAGACTTCAATCAAGAAGCCCCACTAAATTAGTAAGAGCGTCAGTGCGAGCGTGATGAGAACGGCGCGCATGAGGTGGCGGCCAGCCTTCCTCCGCGCCGGGGTTAAGCCTCCCCTACAGGGTGCTGGGCCCTCCTCCAGGGCTGCCACAGGGTCGCCCGCCCCAGGCCCGCCGGCGGGCATTCTGTGGGTCCGTGTGAGCCTGCGGGACTCCCACTGGACGACCAGGGAAGATGCTGGGCTGGGGAGACTGTCGTGCCTCAACTGCAGACAAACTGGGCAGAGAACCCCTGGAGTGGAGTTGGCCGGGGCAGTGCAGGGCTAGGAAGACATCCTAATGTGCTTGGGCATCAGGCCACCCTTCCAGTGTCGTTCTGAGAAACCCAGGGCGCTCCCCGCCGGCTCCTGCCCGTGCCGCCTGCAGGACGCACGTGCGTCGTGGGCAGAGCTGGTTCGGAGCTGCAGCCGCCCTGAGCTCTCAGGACCCAACCTCCTTGGCCCCTCCTGCCCGGCCTTCTGCCCTCCCAGTGCTCACCTCACGTCGGGTGAGGAGACGCTCGCAGGAGCCAGGAAAGAGGTCCCACTGATGGGGCCCCGGGAGACCCTCCAGTCCCCAGCCGTGGTCTTTGACTCATTCAGGCAGCTCGGGGCTCGCCTCAGACCCCTGCCCCATGAAGCAGGCATCCCAAAGCTGTCGCTTCATTGGAGACCGATTCTCAATGGTTGTTCTGAATCCCTGTGGCCTTCAGGGGGCAGCCGGAGACCCCGCTGACTGTCCCTGCCCGGCAAGGGACAGGGGTGAGCCTCTGCCTACGGATCAGGTTGACGGGCAGTGCTCCGAGGGGGCAGGGGCAAGCAAGTCCCTTGTGCCCCTGATCCCCAGTGTGGGTGGCTTGTGTACCCCACCTCCTGGAGGGGCTCCTGCTCCGTTCTGCAGGCCACCGCGAGCTTGACGGCGTGTGGTTTCCGGGCCGCTGTCATCTAGCTTTCCTGACCTGCAGCTGCCGCTTCAACAGCCTCTGGCCCTACTGAGGATGCCCCGGGTCTGGCCCGGGGTGGCTGGAATGCAGGCAGGGAAGCATCTCGGCAGTTAAGGGTGCTCCCCGGAAGGTGTGTGGGTCCACATCACTTTGGGAATGTGTGGCCACGGGGAGTGGGGCCTCTCAGATGCCTCCTCCGCCTCCTGCCGCCCAGGCCCCATTAATTGTGACTCTTCCCAGGGTCACGCGTGGGCAGGGGCACCGCCTGCAGGAGGGACCTCTCCGCCTGGTCAAGGGAAGGTACAGACGCAAGTCTGTGGCTGCCCGACCTCGCTGCTCCCCCTAAGAGGCTCCAGGACCCTGGAATGCCAGCGGGCAGGATGCCGCAGAGGAGCCCCAGCCCTGTGTGGAAAGCTGCCAGTGGTGCCATTTCTGAGATTTCCTCAACAGGTCTTGAAGAATTAAAAGACAAAGAATCTGTGTGAGATTAATTTGCTGCCCTTCTGTGCTTGTCAGAATATCACTGAATTGGTGGCTGCCAATGAACAACACATCTTTCTGCAGTATCATTTATTTTATGATCCTCGAATCAGAGACTCTGGTACTGAAGCCAACATATATATTCAATTTTTATTAATAAAACACAGACAAGAAATGAGACAATCCAAGTAAGGTTTGCCCTCCAGGGAGTAGCAGGTTTTGGCCCGTTGCTGTCCGTCACTGATCTCTGTGCAGAACAACATACGTGCAGGTTTTCTAGGACGCGTTGTTTGATGTCTTCGTCAAAGGGCCTCAGGAAACAAACGCCCTGCATGTATCTCCGTCTACGGCTGCTCCCAGGGAGGCCATGCACACTCTGTGCACCTCCTCGGCCCCTCACACGTCGCTGAGGGACGGCGGTCATGGGCCGGGGCTCGGCCGGCAGGGCAGACTCCCCCTGCTCCTCCTCTCCCCCCCCCTCTCCCACCCAAGGAAATGATTTCTCCCCTTGAACGTTCTTCAGATATTCGAAGGACTCCTCCACTCATTCTCTTCGTCGTGTCCGTTCTGAGCAGGGCAAACCCAGGCCTGTCAGTTGGTTCCTCCGGAGCGCTGGGTCCCATGAGCTCAAACACCCACGTGGCCCCTCAGCAGACGCTGTTGGGTCCCTGTCCCGGGCTGGGGACGCCAGTGAGCATGCAGTGAGGGTCCCTGACCCCGCATGCCCCCCCGTGCCGGGCCGTGAGCTGGGACCCCATGGCACATGCCCTTGGGTGCCCCGCCACCATCGGGTTGGGGGCACATGCACCGCATCATCACCCTCCCACCCTAACTTCGTCATTTTGTCATAGTGTTCTCACTTCCTGAGTGTCCCTGCCTCCCGTTCCCTGGGGATGTCACATCGTCTTTAATGCAAACCTCCTGGATGACGCATCTAGTGGTAAAGTCCCTCGTTGACAGGAAGGGGGGAACGCACAATGACACCACCTGCAGGCTCTTCAGGGTCCTCTCCAGCTGGAAGCAGAGGGCGTGACCGCAGCAGAATGAGTGGGGCCCTGGTGGCCCCACACACCGTGCACAGGGGGAGGCCGGGGTAGGAGGTATGGTGCCACCTCATTCTTTCAGTCGTATATTCACCTGTGCAATCGATTAATTTTTGCTGGGACATCATCTATTTTTTAAATCAAATAGTGTTACTCTGATGACTGGCTATGTCTCTGACGCCCAATTCCATTGATCAAGGTGGACGTCTCTGCACAGGCTTGCAGAACACTCATTAATTCAGTCTTTTACTCCATAAAATATTTAACTTTTTATTATAAAAGTTTCCAAAGAATAGAGAGAATGGTAACGTAAGCACCATGTGTACCCATTAAAAGAACGTTGTGCCAGTATTTCTTCATCTATTTCTTCAAAGATCTTTCTCAAATATTTTAAAGCATATTCCAGATATCATGTCATTTCAACCATAAATACTTAAACTTTACAGGACACACACACACACACACACACACACACACACACACACACACACACACAGAATCCCTATCCATTCATCCGTCTGTCTGTCCATCTGTCACAAAGCCGCAGTGCCTTGGTCCCATCCAGCAAGGCTCTAGGAACCCTCAGATGGGTCATAATTTCCTGTCCATATTCAAAAGTTCCCTGTTGTCTCCAAGGGGTCTTTTTATGGTTGGTTTGTTCTCTGAGCTGGGTGGCTATTTATACTCAGGCTTTTATTTTCTACCATGGGCTCATCTTCCTTTATAGCCCACTGACTTGTTGGAGAAACTGGTGAATTCGATTCCTCTCTCCCCCTGTATTTCGTATGAACTGCTGGATGGATCTGAAGCTTGACCTGATCCCAGTTCAGTTCCTGGCACGAATTCTTCACGAGGGTACCAGCTACTTGCCCCTGCGGCGCTTCACCCGCCCTAATTCTGTTAAGGCGGCAAGGCGGCCGACGCCCTGGGCCCCAGTCTCCATTTCACTGGACGGACGTGGAAAGCGGCCATTCATGATTATGGATTCCTTTGTCGTGCCAGCAGGGGTTGCCGAATGGCCATTCCTAATTCTGACTTTACTTTTCTGTGATGTTTGGGACTTTTCCATAAAGAACTTTCTCTTACCAGTTTTAACCTGAACATCAGAAAGATACGAATTTGAACCTTTCTTTCCATGGTGGAGAGTTTGTTCCAGCTGCCTCCCGTTTTGGTGGGTAAGGACGCGCTTCTGAGCATCGCTGTGAACATACCTATTTCATGTCTGACGAGCTCCGATCTTTGCGGTCACGGTTCTTTCTGACACTCCGTCTGTGTCAGGCCAGCGAGGACGTCTTCAGACAGATACACGGGCGGGAGTCTGAGGTTTCCATCGGGTCTAGACAAGCAAGCCTTGTCTCTTCGAATGTTTTTCAGTGTCTCTTTCTGTGGAACCCCAGTCATGGGTGTTTCGGGCAGGTGGATATCACACCACAGGTGACTGGGGCTCTGTTAATTTTCCCCCTATTTCTCTTCTCTTTATACTTTCCTTTGGGTAATTGCTACTGTTATATTTTCAAGTTCAATTGTATTTGTTTCTGCCATGTTTAATCTGTTCATAATGCCACCCAGTGTATCAGTCGGGGTGGATGTTGTGTTTTTTAGCAATAGTTTCATTTGTTTCTTTTCTATAGTTTGTGTGTCTCTGTTCATTGAGGCCATGGGTTTTACTAAATTCTCAAACGCATTTATAATAGCAGTTTTAAAGTCCTTGTCTGTGAATTACAATGTCTCTGTCATTTATGGGTATTTTTCTATCGACTGATTCTTCTGGGATGTCTCAGGGACAATTTCCTGCGTGTTTGCTGATTTCTGATTGGATGCCTGGCATCATGATGGTTTTGTCCACGAGTGTTTGAGTTTTATTGTCTTTCCACAGTTATTTATAGGATATTCATGGGAACAGTAAGATACTTTCTAGTAACTGGGGACATAATAGTGAATACATCAGTCAGCATCCCCTGTGCTCACGCTGCTTATTACACTGCAGGTGGAGAGGGCCGGCAATAATGTAAGTCACATACAGCTCTTTCCCTGCAAAGCAGAAAATGCATTTCATCTCCTAGGCTGCATGAAATCGCGTGGAAAAATGAACAGTCAAAAGGCTCAAAGAACATCTCAGTTCCACAGGGCAGGTATTTTATGGACAGATTCTTACCACAGTGAACGTCAGCTTAGTACTCATATAAAAGAAAATGGGAGGAGGTGTGTACCAACTGCTTGGAAGTCTCCCCTGCCAACATACCTCATTTTCTTACTGATCAAATTGAAAAAGGGAGTCATAATTTCAAATTACAGTCTATTTTAGAAGCTGCAGAGACACAAAGACAACCCAGCTAGCTTCTGAGCCTCTTGGTCCGTCGGCTCGGAGGCTCCAACCATGGCTGCAGGCCCCGAGCCCGCCCCGCCGCCAGCTCGGCGATCCCCTCCGCAGGCTTCGTTCTGCCGTCTGCAGGACTGGCAGCCTCGCCCAGCTCGTGTCCCATGAGTCCCGAGGCGGAGCCCTTCTCTGTGATGCGGTCCCCAAAGCAGCGCGGGCAGGCCCAGCCCAGGCCACGTTGACGGTCCTCCTATGTCCACCCTGGGAGCGGTGTCCCCTCTGCGCTGTTCCGCGGGCTGGCCCCTTGTGGTCTGTCCAAGTCACGCAGAGGTGTTTGTGTGATAGGTCAGGGATGGAAACGAGGTTTCAGCACCCAGCCCTGTGGACCAATGTGCATGCTGAGAAAAATCCAAAGATTTCAACACTTCCGTGTTCAAAGTTGGAAAACGAAGTTAAGTGGACTAAGAATTCAACTCAAGAAGATAGAAATTGAGTAACAAAGGGGAAATGTGAAGAAGGTGGCTCAGCCTGGTGAGTCAGTGGAAGCAGAAAATGGCAGATAAGTAGGGTTTGTAAATAAATTAAATAACTATTTCTTTTAAAAGAGTAATAAAATAGATAAATGTCTAGCAAATCTAATCAAGAAAAAATAAGAGTGAGGCCATATACATTTTATAGATTTTAAAAGAAGTTATAACTGCATAAAGTGGGCATTTGGTAAAGGGTTGTGGGATTAATGAAAACATATTTTAAGATAGAATTCTCCTCACAACTGTAACAGTGACAATTTTGAAATCTGGGTGAAATGGCTGATATTCTAGGAAAACACAAATCACCAATATGGACTCAAAAAGAAATGTCTACACTTCATTGGTAAGATAGCTGGGCAGAAGATAGGCTTACAAAAATCAATAGGTTTTCTTAAGCTAGAAATAAAATACCCTAGAAATGGAAATGAGGGAAATATTTTGTTCACAAGATTGGCAAAAACTGTAATAAAACACAGAGGAATTACCTTGAAAATGAAGGTACAAGGCCTGGATGGAAGAAAAGGAAGTCTTGGTAAAGACATAAAATGGGGTCGGAAGTGACGGACAGCCTGTCCTTGCAGGGGGTCGTTAACACCTAAACCCCAATCCTCCCAATCTTAATGTCAGAAATTCCAGTTAGATTGCCACACACCTTATGTGTTAATCTTAAAATTCGTGTGGAAGAATAAATCCCCAAGAAAAGTTGAGAAAACCAAAAAGCATAATAAATTTAATATTGCCGATGCAGAATAATGACTTATTTCCAGGCTTCTCGCATCAAATCAGAGTGGTTCTGGCACAGGAATGGAGACGCAGACCGGAGGGAGCAGGGCCCCGAGTAGCAGACCCTCTCCTGCGGGGCTGATGCGTGGAGAGGAGGGCTCGTGTCGTGAGCCCAGCGGTGCCCCGTCCCGGTGGCACGAGTCGGCCGCAATGCCACACCAGCTCCACGCATGAGTCCCACAGGGCCTGCACGGAGCTGGGAATAACACCACCGCCCAGAAGTGAGTCTTGCAGTTTTCATGTAGAATCTACAGATGAAGGGCTGATCCTTCATGATGAGTTTAAAAGCCATCAAAGAAATGTGTTGCCCGAACCAGCTTGAAGGTTTCTGGTTCTCAAGTAAAACCGATATGAGCGCAGTGCAGAGCTGAAGGACCTTTCATTCTCTGTGACATCCAGGAAGCACGTTGTGTCAGAAAACGGATAAAGCCGACAAACCCACAAATGTCTGGGAAAGACGCTCAAACACAGGGAGTTAGAGAAATGCAAATAAAAGAAACAACGTTTTAACTCCTCAGACTAAGGAAAACAGAGGGAACAGCAGGCCTTGGAGATCGCCTCCCTCCCTCAAATGCTCCTGTGAACGTAAGGCTGGGGAACCGCACACACACTTCCTGCCGATGCTCTTCGATGCCACCAACTGTTCTGTCTGTGGGTACTTTGTGGGTCC